TTACGGTTCACACCGTGACAGATATAGTGTCTATATAAACGAAATTCCAAGGGACATATTCTTTCTTACATACTAGTTGTTTACTACTTAGTTACTAGTAAATAACTCGATAAGATATTTATACCTATAACTACTACTAACCTTTAGGTTATTACCACTCTAGCGTAATATTAATCTACCTGTCACGGTGCGAACCGTGATGCTTAGTAAGAGGAAGATCACGACACGTGATCTTCGACCTGTTTATCTTGAACTTCAGTTCTAGATCCTGTTGTAGCTCTTCGAGCTACGTCTTGTATAATAGCCTGCCCCTGCCTGTGCCTGTACCTGTCAATGAGAATCTGATCTGTTATGACCTGTTCCTACCAGTCATCTCCTATCATACCGTCCTGCCAGCCCGCACCCTGACATATTAGACAATACATCAACTTCTCCTCTCTCAACATTGTATCTTACCCGGTTGATAAGCCTTATACCTGAAAACTGTACTCTTACAGTTATATAGGACAACCAATAGATAGGTATTAAAAACTCTAATTAACTATCCAACTTAAAAAAAAATCCGCTCTTTTTCCAATGTATGTAGATAACGCTAACTTCAATTTGTCTGTGCTGCACTATCATAGCGGTCCGTGGATTTTTCCTGGTATGCCACTCATTTTCAAGCATATAATGTACAATTGGTTTCGACACGTACTTCAACCCTCAAACTTCCGCCAATCACCGATGTCGATGATGACGCGACTCTTGGGTGCCTGAGGTATCCACATCTTCTTCCCCACGGTAGCTTTCAACCGGGGAAGCTTTCTTTCCTGACTCATAGAGATCTTAGGCTTTTATAATGCAGTCATTTCGAGGCGCCGCTCGAGCTGCTTCGCGCAAAATTCGAACTCAGCCATGGCGACAAGCCAACTCTCCAGTGAAGTCCGCGGGACCGAATCGGACTTTATCGGCGCAATGGAAGACCGCACGCCCATTGCATACCATGTCGCCGCGAAAGTCAGCATCGGTCGCCGGTGAGTCAACTGAAAGAGACTCGTCCAATCCAGCCATGTCGTTTCCTTGCCTCGACGCTCAAGAAGCAAAGTCAGCTCAGCTCTCCGCTCGGTCGCTGCAATCCGGACCCGAACCTTCGTACACCACCGGGCGACACGAATCATACCACTGTGAAAAACCACTTTTGCTCGACTGGGGTGGTGTGCTCACTGAATTTGATGTTGCCTTCGAAACTTGGGGTCAACTGAACTGCGACAAGAGCAATGCCATCCTCCTGCACACTGGCTTATCCGCCTCAAGCCACGCCCATAGCACTGCGTCCAACCCAAAACCTGGGTGGTGGGAGAAGTTCATTGGCCCCGGATTGCCACTGAACACTGATAAATATCACATAATTTGCACTAATGTTATCGGAGGATGTTACGGCAGCACAGGCCCGTCTTCCCTCGACCCGTCCGACGGAAAGCGGTACGCAACCCGCTTCCCAATCCTGACCTTAGACGATATGGTGCGCGCTCAGTTCCAGCTCCTTGACGGCTTAGGAATTAATAAACTCGCTGCGTCAGTCGGGTCTAGCATGGGTGGTATGCAG